TTGAAAAATGAAAAACTTTCATGCCAGTTTGGGCGTAAACGGGTTAAGCTGACGGACGATGTCCGCAAAGCCATTGATGATCGTAAGGTACCTGCTTGCGTCTTCTTTAATCTTTCTAAGGCTTTTGACACTGTTAACCATGGTCGTCTACTCGATAAACTTACCATTCTCAAATTTTCCCAGTCTGTCTTAACTTGGTTCTGGTCTTACCTTACGGGTAGAGAACAAGCGGTGCGTACCTGGCGGCACCTCTACTTGGTCTGTTGTTACCTCTGGAGTTCCCCAGGGTAGTGTTTTGGGCCCTATGCTCTTTTCTCTATATATTGCTGATATTGATGTACAATTAGGACATAGCTCTATTATAAAGTACGCGGACGATCTGCAAATATATGCTTATTGCTTGCCGCCCAATGTCAATGAATGTATTGCGAGTATTAACGAAGACATTATTCGAATATGTGACTGGGCCAAAACAAAGAAGCTACGTTTAAATCCTACAAAAACCAAGGCAATGATACTGGGCTCATCTAGACACTTAAATGCCCTTCACTCTGGGAGTATTGCGAGCATCAATGTGGATGGTGCCTTCATACTGCCAAGTGCAAACAGCATCAAGAGTTTGGGTATTACCATTACACCAACATTAAGCTGGCGGGAACAGGTTACTGTTACCTGTAACAAAGTCTATAAGACTATGTACCAGTTGAGATCAAATGGACAGGGCCTAACTAGATCACTCAAAATAGAACTAGTCAGATCTCTCATCCTTCCGCTATTTGATTATTGCTCACTGGTCCTCTCAGATATTACGGCTGAAGAAGATGCTCGTCTACAGACTGCCTTAAATGGATGTGTTCGCTATATCTATGGCTTACGTAAGTCCGAGCATATCACGCCGTATTACACCGATCTAAAATGGTTGAAGGTCAGCCAGCGTATATTTTACTTTCTTGCGATATTTATCCGCCAAGCCATCGTTTCTGGACTGCCTGTTTATGTTGCTAGTGAGATTTCTAGTAGAGCATCTAGGTCTGGGTCCACCCTTTGTACTTAGCAGTCCACTTGACTTAGCAGTCCCGTTATGCCGTACTTGCACCTATCAGAAATCGGTGTTCGTAACAGGTATTAGGTTATGGAACCATATACCTACTAATATTCGGAAGAAAACGACACTTTCGGCCTTTAAATCTGCGCTGTACGATTATCTTTTATATAATCAGGTTAGTTTGTAAGTGTAATTTAAGTTTCTGTAAAATAATTTTGTAAAGTTCATATCCGCACATCTCAATTCTTCTGTAGTCCTTAAGTAAATTACGTAAATATTTTAATTTTTCTTGCAAGTAAGTTTTGATATACTGCTCATGCTAATCTGTTACTGTTTTTGATGTTTATACTTACGGAGTCTATGACCCTAGTATAATAAATACTGTTCTCTCTCTCTCTCTCTCTCTCTCTCTCTCTCTCTCTCTCTCTCTCTCTCTCTCTCTCTCAGAAACGGTCCAAGCTTCTCCATCCTAAATTCATGGAATTGAACCCAAAATCCCTAAAATCCCGCATAAATTCCTAGAAAATAGGCGTCTCGATGACGTCACTTCCGGAAATTGTACAGCTCACGACGGCAACTTAGCACGGACACCTATCTCCGAAAATTCTACAGTGTGGGCATATGTAGGTTGCAGGAATCTTTAAATAGAACCAGCTAACTTATACTACTTTGAGTATGTTTCAAAGAGTTTTAACCTGAGCATGTCGAGGGAATAGTAATATTTGTAGTTGCAGATCACTTCCATGTTGAAAAAACCGCATCAGCGAAAAAAATAGTTTTAATTAAGCAACGATTATATAATATTATGTAAGATCCAATCACATGGTTCAAGTAATCGTGCCCCAATATTTCCATTTCGAACTGAATGTCTTTAAAGTTGTACTTCATAATCAATGTCTCTAGAATTACAATGTTTAAATATGTGATACCGATATAACTATTCATTTTGTATTGCGCTATCGTAGGTTATATTTTAATTCAGCGTTTATAACATGATTTCTTTTTTCTTTCAGTAATCGATACGGTCTTACCAATGAGGATCTTAATAGGCGGTGGAGTAATCCTAATCAAGTTCTTCATCCTGTAATATATCACACGAAAGGATTAATGGAATATTGTACTAGAGTGTTGCAAAGGCCACCTCATGTGTTTGTAGACTATCATGGACATTCACGACGAAAAAATGTTTTCCTATTTGGTTGTTCAACATCAGGATCTTGGAGTGCAGCGGATAAGAGCAAGCTGGACAAACCACTAATGTATTTGGTAAAAAAAAAGCGATAACATTTATATCTATATATTTATCGAATAGCCAATGATTTATTTTATTACATATGTTATCTTGCTTGCAGATGCTTCCACACTTGATGCAAAAGTTTTCTCCGGCATTCGCGTTGCCTCTTTGTTCGTTTAAAGTTGAACGAAATAAAGAATCTACAGCCAGGGTTGCAATATGGCGTCAGTTGGGCGTTTGGAGGTATGCAAAATTGTGTTATTCAAATTAAGACTGTTGATAAATATTACAAAATGGAATAGTTCAATTATTGTGATTGTTGCTTCTTCATCTTCATGCGCACATTTTATGTCGTCGTCGTATGGTGTAATTCGACAGTTGAATTGATTTTTATATTTTGTATTGTAAGATGAAGAATTAAAAAATAGCGGTTAACTTTTTATAATAACAAATATATCTGTCAAGCTCTGTGGCGATAGTTTCTTCCTCCGAGTTTCCAATGCAATAGTCACAATCCTCAATCCTACTCCAAAAATCCACTCCCTTAACTAAAGTCCACCAAATCCTCCAAGACTCACTCTCATTCTCGGCCGATCGGCCAACCGAAGTAATTGATCAGTTTTCATTTTTGTTAGTTAACAGTTAGTCAACTACTCAACTAGACTAGTTGTTGAGTTTTCAGTTTCCTTGTATTTATAATAAATTGTGCTCACTTTGTTTATCTAAATGCGCTTTCGCATTTTCCTATTTTAAAATCAATTTCATTACTTACTATCATGCCGTCATCACCATCGTCATCATCCTAATCATCCGACGTCGAGGTAAGCAATTAATAATTATTATATTTAACGAAAGAACTCTTAAATTTTGTTAAATCATAGTGGATGTTAGAATTTTCTAGGTTTTCAATTATTTAGTTGCTGACAGTTTTCATTCGTTTCGGTATATATAGAATCAATTTTATCCCATATCCAATTTTATTTATTCTTCCCACGGTAATTAGAGGCATAACCCAATTCTGAGTAAAGTGCGCAAGCATTGACTCAAATAGGGCAAAATAATAGTATTAGGTTGGTAAGGAATTTATGTCGTTATTTTTGAGGAAATTTCAATTTCTTATATTTAAGCTCATAGGTCAGATTTAATAATGAAATATTAACCACTGTTTTCTATGACCTTCTTCCATCTGTAAACAAGGTCAATTATGCCGGATGTATAAAAGATCCTATCCTTTGAAGCCACGAAATCTACCACTGCCCTTTGAATATGCGGAACATTTCGAAATTTTTTTTTCCTTGAGGAAATGTTGCATCGAGAGGAACCAGTGAGAGTCAGATGATGCCAGGTCAGGTGAGTACGCTGGATGTGATAAAACTTCATAACCAAGAGCCTGGAGCTGCTCCTTTGTCCTTAAAGCTACGTGAGGCCTGGCATTGTCATTTTGGAAGACAACACCTTTTTGGTTATAATATACAGTGCTGGACGAAGTTCACATATTTTTATTCAAGTCGGGTTAGCTGATAACAGTATAGGTCTGCTGTGAATAGAACCTCGATAATCACACCAAATGCAAAGTATTAGCTTTTTTTGGTGCAAATTGGCCTTCGCATGGGAAGAAGGCCAACTACCTGGCATTACCTTAGCTCTTTTCTTCCCTACATTGTCATACACAATCCAGTTTTCGTCACCAGTAATCAAGCGATCCAAAAATGGCTCATATTGTTGTCGAGCAAGCAAAGAAAAAGCAATAGAAATTTGATCTGCATATGTGTTTTCGCTAAATTACATTTGTAGACAAAGCCAAGCTGATTCAAGTGGTTTTCAACTGTTATGTGACAAACGCTTATCCCCGATCACTCTCGTAGTCAATAGTGGTTCATTGCCCACTAAAGCCCTCAGAACGTCGACATCAAGGACTTCCGGTACGAGATTCATCTTGAAGTTTCATGTCACCTGACCTGAATTTTTCAAACCATTTTTGGACCGTACGAACTTCAACTTTAAATGGCCCAAAGACGAAACACAAATCTTTGTGAGCTTCCCTCTCATTATGACCAAGTTGGAACTCATAAAGCATAGAATTTCCTAAAATTGGCCTTAATTCTGGTTCGGACGTAACAGAGATATAACCATCTTAGAATATCTAAGAAATGTTTATCGTTTGCTTTTCAAAGAAGTTGAGAAATAATATAAGAAAACCTGTTAGTATTGAAATAACCATAATTACATAATTCAAGCAATAGTATATTAGTCTTTTTAATATGGAAGCCTATAGTTATTTCAAACTTTAAAATTAATTTACTTAAAACCACAATGTCTTGTGTATGTCGTAAAGTTAAAAGTATTCCGCGTATAAGAAGATTGTCATATACCAGAATCAAGACAAATTTATCTAGTCCGGTATCTTTATTGAACATAAAAATGTTCTGTTTTGTGTTAGTTTTCCTAAATTACTAGAAGTCGGACTATGCTAATTACCGCGGGAGGAATGCATATGATATTTATGAAATAAGTAATGATGTCAATAATACTAACATACATGTATACCGCCAACAGATAATTACTGGATAATTTAGGAAATTCTGTCACCAAACGAGATTATGCGAATTTAAAAAATCTTGTCACTGAATAAGATTATAATTTTGAAATGTTTATCTTGATTTCGTTAAATGGGATGATTAGTCTAACAAACACGTACAAAATAAAATGAATAATTTTCAGAAAATACTAACTTTGAATTCACTTCAAAAGAAAGGACTCAATTTGGGTCTTCCACTGGTGAATGCGCAACGGAGAATGAGAGCAAGCTTAGGACAAAATTAGCGGACGTTAGCAAGCGGAGATAGATTTTTGGGGTAGTCTGGGAGACTATTGCTATTGGTGCATCTATGGGAATTTTCAGAAAAAAGCATACGCGGTAGTAGTATAGCTGTGCCGATTCTGCACCAAGATTCCTGTAACTGACATTTAACGACATTCAAAAGTTTTCGAAGGTGGATGTCCGTGCTAACTTGACAACGTGTTCGCCCACAACCTCTTTTGGTAGTAACGTTATGAAGACTTCCGATTCCATGAATTTGAGACGAATTTTGGAAATGTTACGTCACATTCCGGGAATTTTGCGCTCGATTCTAGGAATCACATACGATTGAGAACTATCTAGAATATTTTAGAATCTTCAATGGTTCCTGTCCGTGCTAAATCACGAAGAATCACTCTCAGAGCTGGCGATTCTCTCGTGCGACGCTTTGAGGCAACCCCTCTCCTCTAAACCCCGAAGAAGCTTGTAGAGCCTTTTATGTAGACTGCTTACCCATGGCCCACTTGCTCAAGGACCACTTACCCATGGACCACTTACGCACGAATCGAAATCGACATCGGACCAGATCCCCACGGCCCACTTGCGCACGAATCTCGTAACATTCACGGACCCAGTTGCCTACGACCTACTTGCGCACAGATTTCTATCCCACGAGCGGATGCCGTATCATCGTATATGAATATAGTATGGGACATTAAAGTTAATTAGATTAGGTTAGGTTAGGTTAGGATGGAATGTTTAAACTTCGGAGATTGCGTAGTTTAGTGGGGATAAGTATATTGTCCGACTGAAAAGAGCATTAAATGTTTGAAAAAGTTCCCTCAGACAAAAAGAACTTACAATATCGTTGAATTACTAACGGAATATCGCTCAAGAGGTAGAAATTTGCATTTGTATTCAATTGGGTTTTTGCGCAACTGGGCATCACTCGATTTCAATCTTTGCGCAAGTGGTCCGTAGGCAAGTGGGTCCGTGAATGTTACGAGATCCGTGCGCAAGTGGGCTGTGGGCAATTGCGTTAACGTAGATTTCGACCCGTGCGCAAGTGGTCCGTGGTGAAGCGGTCCGTAGGCAAGTGGGACAAATAGCCCGTGGCATCTGATATCGTGGGCAAGTGGTCTGTACGAATCTGAATATCAATCGGTTTTACCTGAACTTGCAGGTATAAAGAATTATGGGCAAGATCAATATATTAATCTCCATGCCCTCATGCAGAAAATTCGATCGGTGCATTGTCTGAAAGTGATGAAACCGGTTTATACTGTATCCAATTGCCACTCTCAATAGATGTCTGCGTAAGTGGTATTTTCAAAAGATCCAGTTCTGTCTTTACACATTCGCCTGAATGCAAATGTAAGAACAATGTTTCTACTTTTGTGATTATCCAAAAATATCTCGAGTTTTCGTAATAGTTTTTTTCTTGAAAGTAGTCTTTTTCTTGTCCAATGTTTTAGACTGCTTCTTCGTTTTCGTAATTTTATTTTTTGAATTAACTCGTGTAGTGTAACGTTCCGACCTTATACCCCCCTATCCTTTATCCTTTTTCCTTCCGAATCATTAATTCTCGATGATGGATACGTCAAGAGCCCCACATAAGAGTGCATAGCGCACTGTGGATGTGCATAACAGTATCTGAGAGAACTCCTCAAATCCTAGAATTCCTCAA